AAGATTTGGGCGATCAGCACCCAAACCTTCAAGAAGCGGTCGGACAACGCCAGACCTGCCACTGCCACTGCCGCGCCACGGCGCCGTTCTGCTGCTGGCCCAGCTGAACCCCAGGCCCGGGCCAACCTTGCCTCCATCGCCGACTCCCTCAACCGGCTTCACTTCAAAGTTGACGGGATGGATGGCTACCTTGAGCGGCTCGACGAGGCTGTTCAACGCCAAGGGCACGCCATGAACGCATACTTCCAACGCGTCAACTACGTCCCCCCACCGTACCAAGGCAAGTTCCTTGGGCAAGTGTATGGTGACGAGGACGAAGAGGATGGCTTCTACGCCCCGTCAAACTCTCCGGACGAAGACGAGTTAGATGACGCCGTTGATGGCGATGAGATGGACGACGACGACGACGACGAGGAAACCGAAGACGAAGACTAGGCCACACCTAGAATTTTTTTCTCTTCTTTCTTCAATTGTCCTGACTTTTATTAACGCTTCTGTTGTACTCCGATATTTCCCAATTTAAATAAAAGTATCTTTTACCTTTTTGTTAATGTCAAAAGGGGGAAGAAAAGGGTCTCTAAAAACGGGCTCGTTTGATTTTAATATGACTACTCGTTTTTGAGCACAAATTAAGGGGGAACTTCTTCATTTTTTTTCCAAAATCAAATATTCCTTAGTATGCATATCCCCGTCTTGTTTGCCATTATCAAAAGGGGGAAATTGTTGGAACACGGGTTTACGCCTATGTCATAGTAAACCGTGTTCGTTTTATGACAGGTTTTGATAATGCAAAACAACCGTGAGAATAACAAGGTTAAAGTAAGCAAAACCAAGGCGAAGGAACATGGCACGATGAATTGAGAACCAAGAATCAAGAACGAAGACTTAGAATTGTATTGAGTCGGTTTTAATGTGATCAAGACCGGCACAAACTTTCAAAACATGGCTCTCTAGGCTCATTTCATCAAAATACTTTTTTGCATATTCAAAATGGTTCTCTTAAGTCTTAAACCTGCCTAAAAACATTTGGAGTTCGCCCAAACCAAAAACCAAGCCATCTAGCGTTCGGTCTTCAGAAACCGGCGTTCAGCCTTCGGTTATCGGCATTGGTTTTTGGTGTCCTAAACAACCAAGTGGTTTTCAACTCTTAATCATTGGTTTTTACTTTTGGGCATATTTAAATAGTTCTCCAACAAAAACGCCTCAAAAACCATCCTTCGTTTTTGGTCGTTTAGTGAAAACCATGCGAAACGGCGTAAACTTGGCTAGCCGTGGTTTTCAACTAAATGACGTGGTTTTCAAAATGTTTTACTTGATTTCTTAGCAAAATGCATTAAACAAACATTTTCAATACTTAGTTTTTATTTTGGAGAACTTACATTTTTTGAGATTGGCTAACGGCATGACTAAACCAACCATGGGTCTGGCTAAACCAGCCAAACAGCGATGTTGGTGTAACCAATAGCGCTGTCTAGCATGGGTAGCTGAAAACCATGGTTTGGCGTTAAGTCTTCCAACAGCGATGTTGGTTTTTAGACATCGCTGTTGAGCCAAGGTTGGGTTTCCGGAAACATCTGGAACAGCGATGTAGCCTACCCTACATCGCTGTCAAACCTAAGCCAAAACCAAATACATTGGGAGAAAGTTTTTGGACAGCGCTGTTGACCCAGCAACAGCGATGTCAGGCCATTTCTTTCACTTTCAAAGTCAGGCCTAAACAGCGATGTTCAAGCAATGAACATCGATGTAGGCACCTGACCGTTGGAAAGAATTTAAGGCTAAAACTTTCCTTGTTTGGAACTCAACAGCCAAACAACGATGTAGAAGTTTTGGACATCGCTGTTGGCATGACCGTTGCTTCCCATTTTCAAAACCCAACCCTAGAACAGCGATGTCCAAGCCTAGGACAGCGCTGTCTGGGTGAATTTCAGCAGATCCAAATTTAATCAAATCTCACAAATTGTGCCAATCACCCCTTAAATGTTTTGATCCGATGGAGCCTATTTTTCCACTATAAAATGGGGTGTTTGGGTCTATTTTACATATCATATTACTTCACAACTCCTATTCTTTCATTGCATATTATTCATACATTATTCATAGCTTTTCGAGAGCCATTTTTGTGAAGTTCATGTTGTCATCTTGAGCGTATTACTTTACTCATATTCACTCTTTTGAGAGAGCCTTATTCTTGAGTGTTCTTAGTTTTTATAGACATTAAGGGAAGTTTGTTTCCCTTGGTTGTACGAAGGAAAGGTACTTTCCTTCGGGTTGAAGTCTTGGAGTGCGGTATCTCCGAGCAAGTGTTTTTGAGGCTCGTGGGACTCGAGTTCTCAGGTTGTAACGGTTTGTTAAGCACCCGTAAGCTTAAAGGAAGTAGTGTAGTTCAAGAGAGTCTCTCGGGAGGCTAGATTAGCCACAAGTTGTGGTGAACCAGGGTAAATTCGGTGTGCCTTTTACTGTAACACCCCAACCCGCATGACCCAAACCCGTGAGACAGCGGACCGGTGTGCCACTAAATTGGTATTCGAATTTGCGACATTTTCAAAACAATTTTAAACAAACGTTCTTTCAATACATATGAAAATCCATCGGAGTAATTTAAAATAATGCGGAAGCCTTTTTAAAGTCAAACAACTTGGGATCTTGCCCGAAAATGTAATAAGCATTAAAGTTAATTAAATAAAGCATAATCAACAGATTAAAGAAACAGCCACGCCATCGTACATCTCCTCCTCAATGCCCTCTGGGATCGGCTCTAGGTTCATCTGTCTAATCACCTACGGACAGCAAAAGAAAACAACGCTATCCGCTCAGCATTGACGCTGAGTGGTACTCCATTGTAGCACAAGAATAAACATAATAATTCAACAATTAAGATCGTGCATAAGTTTATCCTTTTAATAAAAATCAATTCAACTTTACATTCGGTTCTTTAGACGGTTGACCAACAGTCAACTTATTTTCTTTCTTTTCAAAACGATTTAGGTGTTACGGGTTTCC